AAACATTGATTAAAGGCTCAAAATACGTCATTTTCCAGTCTTCAAAGACTCTTTAGCTATTGGAGTTACCAAACTTTGGCGGCCATTTTCTCGCAAATTTCACCACTAAAACCAGGCGACCTCACTTCCTTCAATCACAAATATTTTGACTTCCATTAAAGATAAATGGATATCATTATATTTCATTTGATGCAAGGCAAATAAATCAGCTTTCAGATGAGACCAATAACTCCACATACCCATAAATTGACGAGTGCCTGATTCCCCCACGTTGTGACTCATATATTATGACACACATATTATATAAATAATATTATTATAACAAATGTTGTTTTGCTTACATAGTGGAATCAAAGCATTCTATTGCATGAGTTTTGCATGAATTGTGCACGGAATCAAACAGTTCTAATAAGCTTGAAGAGTTGTGAAAATTTATGAAATTGGCTTGTTAGAAAAATCGCATGTTGATGAAGTGAAAGTCTTTTCTTAGACGTGTTTGTCTCCCCTTGACCTTTGTCTGACCGTACTCACGTCCTGCATGTTGATGAAGTGAAAGTCTTTTCTTAGACGTGTTTGTCTCCCCTTGACCTTTGTCTGACCGTACTCACGTCCTGCATGTTGATAAAGTGAAAGTCTTTTCTTAGACGTGTTTGTCTCCCCTTGACCTTTGTCTGACCGTCCTGACCGTACTCACGTCCTGCATGTTGATGAAGTAAAAGTCTTTTCTTAGACGTGTTTGTCTCCCCTTGACCTTTGTCTGACCGTACTCACATCCTGCATGTTGATGAAGTGAAAGTCTTTTCTTAGACGTGTTTGTCTCCCCTTGACCTTTGTCTGACCGTCCTGACCGTACTCACGTCCTGCATGTTGATGAAGTGAAAGTCTTTTCTTAGACGTGTTTGTCTCCCCTTGACCTTTGTCTGACCGTACTCACGTCCTGCATGTTGATGAAGTGAAAGTCTTTTCTTAGACGTGTTTGTCTCCCCTTGACCTCTGTCTGACCGTACTCACGTCCTTCCAGCCCGGTCTGCGGACATTTTCTTATTGCAAAGTTTATTCTTCTCTACCAATTGTCGTAGATTTTTTTTACTGGTATTCATAATAGCTAAAAATAGGTTTTGTCTGGATGATACTTTCAGCCTGTAGTCTGTTTCCAATTTGTGTTACCTCCTCATTGCAAAAAAAGCTTTGAACTTTTCTCCAAGTACCCCCCCTCCCCCTCTACCCCGGTACAGCGAAATGGTTTGGTTTGGAAGAGAGAAGTTGAACCCACCATATTTCTGGTTTGAAAAACAGCCCGAAACATTTCCCAAGTGACTATCAATGGTTTACAGAAAATCAGTTTGCAGTATAGCCTAACTGATTACATTGCAAAAGAGCTGTATATGCTTGTGAATGTGATGGGATTACGATATATTTGCTGTATGCTTGTGAATGTGATGGGATTACAATATTGCTGTATATGCTTGTGAATGTGATGGGATTACAATATTGCTGTATATGCTTGTGAATGTGATGGGATTACAATATTGCTGTATATGCTTGTGAATGTGATGGGATTACGATATATTTGCTGTATGCTTGTGAATGTGATGGGATTACGATATATTTGTCGTACTGCGTAACATATTCTCAAATTATCTCCTGAGTGTAAGTGATAGAGACAGAGGTCATTTCTGTAGTGCTGAATGTCAGGAGTAGCAGGGTTTGGAAGTGCTGGGGATGTTTGTAGATCTTTCTCTTCTGTGGATGTTTGTAGATCTTTCGCTTCTATGGATGTTTGTACATCTTTCTCTTCTGTGGATGTTTCTAGATCTTTCTCTTCTGTGGATGTTTGTAGATCTTTCGCTTCTGTGGATGTTTCTAGATCTTTCTCTTCTGTGGATGTTTCTAGATCTTTCTCTTCTGTGGATGTATCTAGATCTTTCTCTTCTGTTCAAATTGTACATAATTTTTTTTCTCTAAAATAGAAAAGTTTCTCCTAAACAAAAGTAGATTCTACCACTGCGGTATTTTGTTAACTTTATGTATGTTGTCCTTATATGGAAAACTACAATACAACTAGGCCTACTTCAGCTGTGTGCTTTATGTATGAGGTCCTTATATGGAGAACTACAATACAACTACTTCAGCTGTGTGCTTTGTTTAACCCCTGGATCTGTCAGATTTACAAAGTGGGTGGTTGACGGGTGCTATGGTGTGGTTTGCTTCTTTTTTCCTATCAAATATCTATCGTCCTTATCTCCCATCCTTCTTTTTTTTGTGTTTGTTACTCTCTTGTCACACCTCTAATCTTCGGAACTTGTTTGATCTTATTGTGTCGCAAGTGTCGTAAAACTCTTACGAAAACTAAACAAAACGTCTATCGTCCTGATCTCTCCTCCTCCTTTTTTGTGTTTGTTACTCTCTAATAACACTTCTGGTGTTCAGCACTTATGTGACCTTACACTTATTCAAACTTATTGTGTTGCAAGTGCCCTAAAACTCTTACAAAAACAGATGTACAACCCGTTTCTCTCGCCCGCAGTGCCTCTCGTGTGACGGCTGCTGCAGCGCCCCCTGCACCGCTCCCTCCTGTTCCACCGACGGCTGTTGTAGCAAACCTTCCATCAGTTGTGGCCCCTGCTGTGCGGGCTGCTGCACCGACTGCTGCGAGAGTGACCTTGACCCCGGCACGTGCGGCTGCCTGTGTCTGGAGGTCAAACTGCGACACCCGAAGCATGGGGGCAGTGTCAGGAGAAGCCAGTCCCAGCCGTCGTCGGAGCTCAAGGACGGGCGGGCGTTGAGCAACCACACACCACAGCGCGCGTTTGACACACCCACACCACAGCGCGCGTTCGACACTGACACACCACAGCGCGCGTTCGACACACCCACACCACAGCGCGCATTCAGCACACACGTACCGCCACCCAGGTACGGGGAAGTGGCCCGCTCTGACAGTAATTCGTTGTTCAGTGACCCCGTGTTTGTGGCGGGGAGGAAGGGCTCTAACGACGCGACACCTGACGCGACCTTGAAACAAAGGTCTCTCTCCAGCAGCCCACACACCCGGAGCCCCGGGAACAGACTCGCCCCTCTGCCGTCGCCGCGGAAGGTTCCGGTTCCAACCCCGAGTGGAACGCCAGGACGGCGACAAACCAGAGCAAAAACAAGACAACGGTGGTCAGGTTCCTGCGACGGTCGCTCGGATCGCCGTGACGAATCTTCAACTACAGCTGGGAACAACGGAGTGTTTCGCTTGAGTCTCAATTCTTCCAGTTCCATGCAGCTCTCGGGGACTCTCTCGGACGAGTCGTTCCTCAACTCCAGCGCCTCTGGAAGAGTTCTCATCAACAACAGCAACGACAACAACAGCAACAACGACCACAACAACAGCGGCAGAAGAGATGGTGGAAACAACACAAACAGGAAGTCTTCCTCACGGTCGCGGAGGTCTGTGCGGGCGGGCCAGATGTCTCAGAGGTTCCCCAACAAAGTCCTGGTCAGCGCCCGCTCCCTCCAGTCCACGTCACATGACTTGAGTCTCGGGGAGGACTCCACGTCTGCTCGCAGCAGCCACAGGTCAAGTGTCAGCTCACGGGCACTGCCGCAGCCCAGGGTACACAGGGGGGTGTGAGGGGTGGTGTGTGGGGGAGTGTGAGGGGGAGTGTGTGGAGGAGACAGTAGCCACAGGTCAAGTGTCAGCTCACGGGCACTTCCACAGCCCAGGGTACACAGGGGGGGTGGGAAGGGTCGTGTGTGGGCTAGTGTGAGGGGTGCTGTGTGTAGGGTAGTGTGAGGGGTAGTGTGTGAGGAGTAGTGTGTGGGGACAGCTGTGTGAAGGGTAGTGTGTGTGGTATTCTTTTTTATCCACTCACTCTCTTCCTATTTTGCCTGGAACAGACATAGAGGGAAAGGATGATGGACAGACAGGAAAAGGATGATGGACAGAGAGGGAAAGGATGATGGACAGACAGGAAAAGGATGATGGACAGAGAGGAAAAGGATGAAGAATTGTGAATCCCACATCTGGCAGCAATAGTTTCCATTGCTCCTGTGCCTGAAGTGTATACCTTTCGTTTTGTGTAGAAGCTAAGCTGAGCTCAGTTATCCTTTCCGAGAGATCGTGCATTTTACGCCGCAGGTACATATTGAAGGGTTGAGATGCTGAACCCGCGACATCCATTTTAGATCTTTGGAAAATTTACTTTGTTTAATGCTTCTATATATGGACGAACTGACTGCAGAAAGTACAATAGTGGATGGTAGGGAACTGGTTTACCAACACAGAAAGTACAATAGTAGATGGTAGGGAACTGGTTTACCAACACAGAAAGTACAATAGTAGATGGTAGGGAGCTGGTTTACCAACACAGAAAGCTGGAAATCTATGATGATTGAATACAAATATAAGGGTTTGAAAGTGGTAATGATTTGCCAAAACCAGGTATATCCAGCTGATTTTGGACGTATCATGTTTTGTGTAAAAAGAAGATATTTTGGCAGCTTTAATAAAGGATGTGTTGGGATGTGGCTGAAAACACTTCGTGAATTTGATAACCGTCAACATTTGCATTTTCATTTATTGGGGAAAATATCTTGATTTTGTCCAAATGTTGCTTAACGGGTTTTGCATCTCAATCTTTCATATATATATAATGTGCGTTGTTATCCAATTTTTTATGCGTCCATTTCCTCAGCTCTTTTCCCTTTCTGAAGCCTTCACCCTTCAGTTTTCTATTCTGGTCTGACAAAACAACTTTTGGTTTTGGTCTTTTTCATTTTTCCAACGAGATCAGTTTTGTAGAGATGGCAAAGTCGCGTTGTTTCCTGCCCCACGTCTCAATGTGAGCGCTCGGCTTTGTTCGTCAAACTGTCCGCTGTGCAAGACTTTGTCTGTATGTCTCTTTTCCCAATGGTTTACGGCTGAGGTTATAATCACATCGTTAACTTAAAGTGTATACGGCCGAGGTTATAATCACATCGTAAACTTAAAGTGTATACGGCCGAGGTTATAATCACATCGTAAACTTAAAGTGTATACGGCCGAGGTTATAATCACATCGTAAACTTAAAGTGTATACGGCTGAGGTTATAATCACATCGTAAACTTAAAGTGTATACGGCTGAGGTTATAATCACATCGTAAACTTAAAGTGTATACGGCTGAGGTTATAATCACATCGTAAACTTAAAGTGTATACGGCTGAGGTTATAATCACATCGTAAACTTAAAGTGTATACGGCTGAGGTTATAATCACATCGTAAACTTAAAGTGTATACGGCTGAGGTTATAATCACATCGTAAACTTAAAGTGTTTTTTTTTCCCTTTTCATTCTACGCATTCAGTGGAGTTCTCTTAAAGTACACCTAAAATTTGGTTGGCGGGTGCTCTGGTGTGGTTTGCTTCCTGTTTCCTGTCAAACATCTATCGTCTTTATCTCCTCTCCTTCTTTTTTGTGTTTGTTACTCTCTTGTAACACCTCTAATCTTCGGCACTTATATGACCTTATTGTGTTGCCGTAAAGCTCTTACTAAAAAAACACCTAAAACTTGGTTTGAACTGTATTTTGTGGAATTAGTCAAGGGACTTGTCTATGGAAAACTCTGAGTGATTTGTGGTGGCCTTGTTATACACAGTCTTCAGCACACAGACTCAAGACAGTCTCATACACACTCTCACACACACACACACACACACACTCACACACTCTCACACACACACACTCACACACACACACACACTCACGCACACTCACACACACACACACACTCACACACACTCACACACACACACACACACACACTCATACACTCTCACACACACACACACACACACACACTCACGCACACACTCACACACACACACACACTCACACACCCACACACACACACTCACACACACTCACACACACACACACACACTTACACTCTCACACACTCACACACATTCACACACTCACACACCCTCACACTTACACACACACACACACTCACAAACACACACACTCACAAACACACACACACACTCACACACCCTCACACTTACACTCACACTCACACAGACACACTGACACACCCTCACACTCACACAGACATTCTCACACTGTCGCACTGACACAGCTATGTGCCAGCACAGACTCACAGAGTCCCACACACAGACATTCTCACACTGTCGCACTCACACTCACACAGACACACTGACACACCCTCACACTCACACAGACATTCTCACACTGTCGCACTGACACAGCTATGTGCCAGCACAGACTCAGAGAGTCCCACACACAGACATTCTCACACTGTCGCACTCACACTCACACAGACACACTGACACACCCTCACACTCACACAGACATTCTCACACTGTGGCACTGACACAGCTATGTGCCAAATTTCTCCTCAGACCAGGCTGTCTAGTGGAGGTCAGGCCTGAAAAGCTTTCCTCTTTGGCCTTTCAACATATTGCCTCTTTCAGCGGACACCTGGTGACTTTGTATACGTATATCTTAACGAGAATGAAGTGTCTTACTCGACGACCTTTTTGGTGCTCCAACTTCCTTCCATCCAATCATGAACCTCCATCACAAATTCTAAACTGTGCACTGCCCTGACTAATCCCCATAGTAAAATAATCATCATCATCATATTTAGACTTACATTTTCAAAGCATTGTGTCGGTAGATTTCATACTTTTTTATGGCTACTTTTTACGATGTTAACAATTTCTTGAGCATCGAAGATCTTGTGATGGGTCAAGGTTGTTCATCCCCCCCCCACCCCCCATTGAGACTCTGCTGGCCTCGGTGTAGGGAACAATTCCAGGCTGAATCAAATGATTTTTTCTGCATACTCAGCAGAATTATTTTTTAAATGTCGTACCGAATGTTTTTGTCAATTTCACTTTTGGCTCCAGGAAAATGTCAAAGTCTGTTGTTTTCCAGGCAATATTTTTGTTGCATTAAATTGTCGCTTTTAAGGACAAGCGGGCCGACCCAGATTTCGAGGGTTTCCTGAAATCTTGACCTACACCAAAAGTGGGCATTGCCCTACCTATAGGAGAAGTTTTGTTTCATTGGTGTGTATATTTGTTTGGTTTTATAGAGAAAGCTCTCCTTGTCTTTTAAAGAAACTGAACAAGGGGCAAAATCTTTACCTTCGATTTTCTCAAAACGGCATTTTTCAGGATAGCCCACTTGTGCTTAAAAGCGACCAATTAGACTAAGGGCTTGTCAGATTGTAGATTGTGTAGATAGTCTGTGTTTTTGGCGGGCGGCTCACGACACGCTCCGTAGGTGCTTGGTTTGGGCTGTGAGTCTGTCACCGGTCATTGGCCTTCTGTTTGATCTATTTATAGCTTATAACTATTTATGGTGCTCCGATGGCTTCCTGTTAGCATTTTGTGATGCGGAATTCATGGCAGAGTTTCTGCGAGTGTACTTATTTAAAAACAGGATTTTTACTTTGGTATCTAAGTTTTGAACATTTCGTGTGATTTTTATATTCACTTGTGAAATTGCTTAATTGCATGGCTTGAAAAAGAAGTCATTGAAAGTGTCGGAGGGCTTTGCAAAGAACTACGGTAATGAGAGGTTTCTCGTGATCTCAAGATGGTCACTGAAAGCCTTTTTTTTTAACTTTCGTGAAAAGGAAATTGTCCCGAGAGTAGCAAAATGCTTCTTCATGACACGCAGCTATGGTTTTTTTCTTTTCCTGTTCCTTGAATGTGATCGACAATCGTTGGTTGTTTGTTTGTCTCGTGTTTGTTCTCACAAGTGTCAGTAGAAACTGTAGCACATGTGCCATGAGATTAAATTCCTAAGATTTACGGTGGGAGATGGCACTGTACATAAACAGAACAATATTGTTTTCTGTTTTGTCAGGCAGACACATCTGTGGTACGAGTGAGATACGGCAGACACATCTGTGGTACGAGTGAGATACGGCAGACACATCTGTGGTACGAGTGAGATACGGCAGACACATCTGTGGTACGAGTGAGATACGATCTCTTGGTTGTCAGGTTTTTTAGGACCTGGGAGACACCGTCTATTTATTTATTCTTAAGTGCTGGAAGTGATCTGGGGGGAGGGGGGGGGTATAAGTCTGGTCCCGTCCTGGTGTGTTGTTATCTACTTGACATTTTAGAAGCCGTACCGTTGTAGATATTCCACCCGTCGATTTCTGTGAGTGATATCTTGTATCCAGCGTGCCGGGGGTGAGAGGGAGCCGTCAGTAAGTCTGGTTTCTTTTCTTTTCCTGTCTTGTTTTTGTCTGTCTGTCTTTGTTGTCTTGTTTCTGTCTGAGTGTCTGCCATGTTTTGTCCTTGCTCTAGACGGCCTTTGTATTGCCATATTTGCCAACAGTAGAATCCAAATGGAGACGCGTGGAGTTTTTGTGTCTGTCCAGGAGCAGCTGTTTCCTGTCTAACCCTTGCATTAACGTAGTGCCAAATCCAGATATATCATTTCATCATGTTCTTGTGTGTTTTTTTTTATTTGAGCATTTATTTCTAAGTCTATAAGTCTATAAGTCTCTAAGTCTATAAGTCTCTAAGTCTATAAGTCTATAAGTCTATAAGTCTATAATGTAACCTTCTGCAACATGGCGTCATGTATCGTTTCTTGCCAGTCGTTCATCATGGGGGGTACACCGCTGTGGTCTCAGAACTGACAGCGTAGTTTTCTCCCTGAAGTGCTTCACTCGGTTCATCACGCTGATGCTTCAGCCTCGGCAGTTTCAGAAATTAATCAGTCATTATTCCCTACATTTAGCTCCTTAATCATAAAATTATTGCTTCAGTCTTTGACATTACTAAACCCTATCCGTACGTCATGTTTTACTATCGTATCCGTACGACATGGGGAACTCTGTGCCACCACTTAACCCTATCTGTACGTCGTGTTTTACTATCGTATCCGTACGACGTAG